CTGCTATCACCACTTTCGCGCATCTTATCGAAGTTCTCGAAGACGTCGAATCCCACTCCTCCCACGATCATCGTTACCAGGTCTTCCAGCAACTCGGAGTCTATCTCGCTATCAGAGGGGCTGGATTCGCCATCGAGGATCTTGCCGACTTTGACCATACCAACGTCGAATTCAACACGACCCATCCAAGTCATGATGAACGATCTCATCGAGAGAGCGGACGACGTTCACGAAGTCCACCTCCGGGACGGCTTCAGGTCAACTCGACGACAGCCATATCTAACCCCTCGCCCCAGCGGGCTAATCAGAATTCCGTACCCGTTTCCCTTCCAAACGGATCAGCCGAAGGTAACGTTAGAGGACGACGTCGATATCGACCTAGACGGAACATGGGGAACGTTCATGAGAATGAACTACCCAATGTACCTAACGGAGGAACTCAACCTGCCCCGGCTAGAGCCAGATCGACGCCGGACTATCCTAACAGCCGTCTACGCCGGCCTTCCAGTGGGAATCCTCCCACCGTCGTACGCTCTAGATCATCCGCTACACTTTGATATCTTACCCGCAGCACTCTCATTCGCTCTGGATGCATTCAGTGTCGTACACGATACCGTATCAAGGACAATGACAATACCAGTGGAAGAACGTACGGGAATGGCGAACATTCACATCATGGATTGGTATGAAGAAGAAGAACGGCTGCTCGAAGGTATAAGTAGCGGCCCTCCTTTTCCTCTACTGGACCATCGCCTCCTCCTACTCGAGTGGGAACTCTACGAGGAAATCTACCCTTGGGACAAAGAGAATCGCCCCGCTCTACCACCTCCACCCATGTCGCTCAACATCCGTGTCACCACCACCGTCACTCGTAGCGCATCCGAGCCAGGGCTCCTCATCGACAGCGACGGAGACGACATTCCGCTTCTGAACAACATCAGTGACGAAGCACTGGCTGAGTCATGGAGGAGTGCACGTTGGGGAGATGACGAAGATGAGACAGGTCGTTGGACAACGGGAGGATCTTGGACGACGGGGAGACCCTGGGGTGGAGACGATGAACAGGCAAGGAGTGCCGACGATGAACAACCTGGCTCCCCTCACCGTCCTGGTGCCACCTACCCCTACAACACCACACCCGAGGATGGATCGCAACCTGCACCGGCTGACACCATCAAGGAACAGATAAGGTACGCTCGAACGGTCAAGTCTTCGAGCAACCCAGCGGCAGGGCAGGTATCGCTCATCGCCCCAGACGTAGCATCACCCTACGACGTCTTCATCGCTACGCCACTAACCTTCCTCATGGAACGCGATGGTCATCGTCTCTACGTCCATCGTACGGGCACGGGCGACTTTGCTACCTTCCACGCCTTCGTCTTCACTTGGGACAACCAGAAGGTCGCTTGGCACCTCTACTCGGAAGACTCGCCTCATCGCGTCTTCAGTCAATGGGTCGCCTTGCTCTATCCGCCACCTATCCCAGGCATGCACGACTGGCATCCAACACCCAACCGGGCACGCATCCTCAGCGTTCGCTTCGCGGGCAAGGAAGAAGGCGTTGAACAATACGAGGTCGAACTTTTCAGGACGTTCTCCGATCAAGTCCACTATGGAGACGCTAAGACACCTCGTGAGTTCACGCCGGTCATCTTCCAACCCCTCGTCGCCATGATTGAGAAGCCTGGGTGGCTTACCGATGGGGTCGAGGCACTGAAGGCGGTCCTGTACGAAGACGGATCCATCTCGCACTGGGCGCCCACCGAGTTCCATCCTCAACCCCACGAGGATCTCGACGCAGAATGGGAGGTCGTACCTCATACCACCATCCCAGTCTACGGCTATGTAGGTGTCCGCGGCGGACGATGAGGGGTTAGTCTGGTGAGTGATCGTCAAGGGTCTTGCCGGTTGGAAGGGGGAGCTTGTGTTACGGTTTCAGCGCTTCATGGTCACGTGACAGTTTACGTTGCACGTGACAATTACTATTTATGGTTCATAGGTCTTGTGGACATATGCTAGGGTTAGCAGTTTTCGTTTTCACGATTTACTCACTCAGGCCATGCAAACTAGACCTTCGTGTTTCAGGTTT